GGTTGCTAGTTAATTCCCAGTCAGGGCACTTACCCAGGTTGTGGGCTTAATCCCCAGTAGAGGGCATGCAGGAGGCAGCCGATCGATGTTTCTCTCATCAATGTTTATGTCCCTCTCACTTCCTCTCTCTCAAAATCAATAAAAACATAAAACTTAAAAACCAGGAGTGCCCGGCCAGAATGGCACAGTGGTTGATCATCTATCTATGAACCAGAAGGTCAAGGTTCGATTCCTGGTCAGGGCACATGCCCGGGTTGTAGGCTAGATCTCCATGCAGGAGGCAGCATATCAATGATTCTCTCATCATTGATGTTTCTCTCTCTCCCCGTTTCCCTTCCTCTCTGAAACCAATAAAACTATATTAAAAAAAACACACACACACCCAGGAGTTACATAACATGGGGTGGGCAGCAGGAAGGGTTGTACCAGGAGTTATATAACATGGGGTGGACAGCATGAAGAGTTGTACCAGGAGCTACAACATGGGGTGGGCAGCATGAAGAGTTGTACCAGGAGCTACAACATGGGGTGGGCAGCAGGAAGGGTTGTACCAGGAGGTACAACATGGGGTGGACAGCAGAAGAGTTGTACCAGGAGCTATATAACATGGGGTGGACAGCAGGAAGAGTTGTACCAGGAGCTACAACATGGGGTGGACAGCAGGAAGAGTTGTACCAGGAGCTATATAACATGGGGTGGGCAGCAGGAAGGGTTATACCAGGAGCTATATAACATGGGGTGGGCAGCAGGAAGGGTTGTACCAGGAGCTATATAACATGGGGTGGACAGCAGGAAGAGTTGTACCAGGAGCTATATAACATGGGGTGGGCAGCAGAAGAGTTGTACCAGGAGCTATATAACATGGGGTGGGCAGCAGGAAGGGTTGTACCAGGAGCTATATAACATGGGGTGGACAGCAGGAAGGGTTGTACCAGGAGCTATATAACATGGGGTGGACAGCAGGAAGAGTTGTACCAGGAGTTATATAACATGGGGTGGACAGCAGGAAGAGTTGTACCAGGAGCTATATAACATGGGGTGGACAGCAGGAAGGGTTGTATCAAGAGGGTAAGACAGGCTAACAAGGCTTCGAACAAAACAGCCTTGATAACTATGAAGGCAGGTCAGCCCGGCTGAGCGCAGCCACGTGGTGCAGGCCAGGGCTCCGGGAGAAGCACCTCCACTTACATGTGCACCGGCTACCCTGACCCGACGGCCTTTGGGCATAGGGGGAAGAGGTCATTGCTACTTGCCCTAATGGCGGTCTGGCTTGTGGGGTCCCAGATGAGAAAGGGGTGTCAGCTGTGAAACTGCAAGTATGGTGTGCTATTCAGGCGACAGGTTACCTCCTTCTCCTTATCATCTGAAGGAGCCTGAAGCAACCATTCAGAACTGGGATCCAACCCGGAGGAGCCCACTGCAGAGAGCAGCCTGTGGCAGTGCCAGCCCCTACGGCCCGACAGCACTGCTTCGGGGTATGAGGTACCGAAATAATGGAAAGAGCCAGGAGGGGCCGCGGGACCAGAGTCTCTGGGAACATTTACAAAGCAGAGGGAAGGCGAGAGTGTCCAATGGAAGTGGTGCTGGTGTCATGTTTGTTCCTGGGTCTTTGCGGCTGTGGCGGGAACGGGAGCTCCACCTCAGTGTGTCACCAGCCATGTCCTCCGAGGCTACCTGGCTGGGTGAAGTCACAGAGGCAAAGCCAGGTGTACAGACGGGAGGTGGCATCGCCTCCAACACCTGGAGCCGAAGCGGGAGGAGGGATGTCCCACCAGGAGCATGGCCTGGCAGTGACTTTGACTCATACAGAAGCCAATCAAATCAAATCTCTTTATCAACTGTTTTTTGCTGGATATACTCAAATTTGGATATACTCAAAGTCAAATAAAGAAGACAGGAAAATGGTTGACCACAGCTGGTTAAAAAAAAAAAAAATGGCTCCAGGCCCAGTTCCAAATATTGGTCAATCCCCAGTATCGATTAGGCGCATTAAGAAGTGGAAGGAAAAAGGAGACGCAATTAATTATCAAACTTTAATTGATAGGCTAATCTTACAGGATAAACAATAAGACAGCTAGTCAAGGTTACACTTTTTAAAAAATCCAGCAGCGCAAATCTAACAGACTAGATACGTTCCTCTCCTCCCAAACAGGCATTGGATTAAAAGCAGACACAAGAAACATGGTACTTACGTATATTGTCAATTCATTCTGGAGAACTCTTTAAGAAAAAAGAAAGCAGTTCTTGACATTTGGAAAGCAGCAGGCCACTCGGCCTGCAGGGAGATGGGCCAGATGTTCTGCACCGGAGGCCCTGACCACCGTAACTTCAGAGAAGCCACTGGGCCCTACTAAGAAGGAAGCAGGTGCCAATCCTAAGTAGAGATGACATTGTCACAAAGCCTTAAAACAAAGGGCCAACCTTTCCCAAGGCAACAGGCAGAACACAGGCAAGGAGACTGTGGCACAGGGTCCAACCCATCCCTTCCTGCTCCGGCGAAGACAGGGGGGGCCAGAGCGGGAGCCCGGGAGCTCTCCCAGGCACATGGGTACTGAGGGAAGGGAGAGCAAGCCCCTTCTGGCTGAAATACAAGTTTCCAGAGCCCTGGCAACGCGGCAGTTCATCTCTCTGGCCCTGGGAAGGCAAAGCAGCAACTAAGGAGACTCCTGAGGCCTCGCTGGCCTCCTGCGTCCACGAGTTATAGGAAAGGACATCCTTAGCTCAGTTCAGCCTCAATAAGGAAGCGCTAATACTACTTGCAGAAGGCCCATCAGCAATTAAAATACACACAAAAAAGCACAAAAACGTAACATCAGAGTTCAGGATTCACAAGTCTAGTTCTCTGCTCAGGCTGACTGAGCGGCCTGCCCTCAGCAGGCATTACTGTCATTGGTTGCCAAGTGGCCCGGGAGGGAAAGAAAGGCGTGGCACCAGTGAGCCAGGACCTGCAGGAGAGGAGGTCCAGCACGAATTCCAGGAGAGAGCAGCCGGGAGGCTGAGGGACGCGCCGCATGGACCACAGGCCATGCCCGCCTGCTCCTGCACCTGGAGCCCTTCTCCGAGCCAGCTCTTCCTCGGTCCACCCGCACGCCCTGCGCCACTGTGAGGGACAGTCAGGACCCCAGAGAAAGAGCTGGTCCATCGGACAGGGAAGAACTGCACGGAAACCATCCTGACAAAACACTAACACTGTGAGGCCTCTGGCGGGAGAGCAGGCAGCTTGAGGACAGACTCCGTCTCGGCACACGCTGGGCCATAAGAAAACAAATGCAGAGACTGCTCCCGGGACCGAGTGACAAGACTGCAATACTGCTGGGACCCAGACTCGGACCTAAATCCAACACCTCCCCAGGGGTTCTGGCTCGTCACCTCTGCTCTCCGAGGGCTTCCCACAAGATCTCCATGATTGTTCCGGCGGTCAGTGAGCCCATCAAACACGCCGACGAGAGACGTCAGTACATTATTGTTAATATACAGCATTTCAAAGTAAGGGGGAAAGCACCATTTTACTTAACATAAAAAGGCTCACACAGGCTGTGGTCCTGTCTGGAAATGACGCCAGCCTGAGTGCAAAGCGGTTTGGCTTGTGGGGAGCAGAGAGAGATGGGACAGGCTGTCCCTGGGACGAAGGGAGGGCAGCTGGCGCGTAGCCAAACAAACAGGGTAAATGCAGACCTGGCGGGAAGGCCTTGGAGAGCAGCAGGGTGAGGCCAGTCTGGGGACGAGGACGCTGCTTCCAGAGGAGAAGGCGTGTGGCCCCGCCGGGACAAGCCTCCAGGACGGGCACTGGCCGACAAGCCGAGCCGAGGCCGCCTCCACGTGCTGGCCCTGCAGGCGTGCAGGCAGCAGGACAGAGGCTGCAGTCAGTCACTGCTCCCGGGACACTACCCTTCACCGATGTACTTCTGCCCCGAATGCGAACTGGGAAGGGACTACACCGTGAGAAGCACGAGCCTGTCTTTGCCGGCTGGATTCCTCAACTACAGTTTGGAGGGAAGGGTGCAGAAGATCACCGCTCACTGGCTCACACATGCTAACACATTTCACAGAACAAGGAGAACAGCCTGGAATCGACTGCAGGTTTGGAGACTCTCCGGCCAACCCCTGCTGAGCCTGCAGCAGCGAGGGGAGGACTGCCGGGGCGGCAGGGGATCAGCACAGCACGGGGATGCCCCTCGCAGGAGCCTTTCCGCATTCGGTCAACCAAGCCACAAGGGACACCAGGGTTCACATGGACAAGGAACGTAGGGGCTAAACCAGACAAGGGCGAGCTCATCACAAAAGCAATTTATCCCATAGTTGCTGTTGCAACACATCGCCAACCCACGAGGTCAGATGTCCTCTTGTTGAGAAAGGCAGCATCTTTGAACGAGGGAGGCAGACCTTGAACACAACGCATGAGCGAAGGGACAAATGGAGAAGCACAACTGAAATGACCACTGGGCTGCTTCTTGAAACTTTCAAAGTGGGCCTGTGGCTACACGGCTGCACACAGTCTCCCACGGCACCGCCTGAAGAGGCCTGTGCCCGCTGGGAACTGTGGATCTTGGAGCAGCACAGCTAGGCACACTCACGCCAGGCTGGGCGTCAGAACCAATCAGTGAGGGCTGCAGGCCACCATCAAGGAGGCAATGACCGCCCCAGAGATCAAGGTGTTTAGACAAGAGTCTGAGATACTCTGCTGCTCACCAGACACCAGCACGCGGGAGAGCTCCCTGACCAAGACCTGCTGCGCCCCCTCCCACGTGCATTCGCGAGCAGCAGCACGGCGGGAGGAAGGCCAGGAAAGGAAGCAGTGATGAGGTACAAAAGGAGGAACTGACATCTTTGGGTTTTCAAAACAAAAACTCCTATCTAGGAAGTGAGAAAATACAAAGGGAAAGAATTAAGTCTGAGTCAATGGACAGAAAAAATATGGCTTACCAACCCTCCCACTTTGCATAAAAATTTTTATGAAAAAGAAATAAAACACCCCAACTCATCAAAACACAGTCCAAATGTTTGCAACCAAAGATTTATGAAAATATTTGTTGAAATCACTTTTTAAAAAAAGCAGAAAGCTTTTGACCATTCCTTTCTAAACAAAACCTTGGCAGATCTACTCTCAAATACACTTAAGAGTATTCCACACAACACTTTCCGAGTTCAGATTTATTGGTTTCCACTGTACTGACTTTAAAAATGGTATGAAGCTGACTGCAAGAAAGGGAACCGGTGATTTAAGTTAGGATTAAGCTAAGGGTGAAAGAACATCACCTCTGGCTTCGGTCACCACATCACCTTAGATTGGGTATAGATTGTGTGTGAACAAAGTTCCAGAACTCTGAAATCCGGGGGTGCTGCAGGCCTCTCCCAGCAATGTCCTTCACTGTGGGTCAGTCTCCTGGGCCAGAGGTGAAAGTGCTTTCAAAAATACTGCCACTTCCCCAGCACAGTGTCTTTGATTGCATCCACATATTGAGTTGGAACCCAGTACACCCAGTAGTAAGAGGCTTCCGTGGGGCCCAACTGAAACGCCTGGAAGGGAAAAGGAAAACCAAGCGACACTTCAGAGGTCGGGAGGCTGAGCGGCAGCACAGCACGCACAGGGGAGGGCTGAGAGGTGGCTTCATCAACGGGGAAGGGGGAGACCTCATGTGGGGAGGGAAGCATTCTCTTGTCTTGTCCAAAAGAGGAGCAGCAGCAGGAGGAAGCAAGCAGAGTGAACCCTAAAGCAGTGGTTCCCCAACTCGGGTGCACATCAGAGCCCTCTGGAGGGAGGGTGTGTCACAGCAGATTGGTGGCTCCCCTCTTAGTCTGGGACTTGGAGGGCCAGTGGGGCCTGAGCATCTGCAATTCCTAGGAGCTCCCAGGTGAGTGGCACTGCTGATCCAGACCCTCCTGGGAACCACTGCCCTAGAAGCAGTCACACATGCACAGCAAACAGGTGAGCGCTCGAAGCAGCACTGCCAGCAAGGCGAGCACTGGGAAACAGCCTGCCGTCCACTGTGAGGGATGCACAAAGTAACGTGATGTGCCTAGTCATGTGAACATTGGGTCACTTTTAAAAGGTGTGAACTGGATCGGTGGTAAATACAGACAGATCATTATGTCGAACCAGAAGAGCAAGCAGTAGAATGACACATACCACGATATGACTTAGGAAAACTGATAAAACACAAAAACAGTGTTGAAGCCTGTTCATGGACATACATGAAAATGGAAGCAGAGCGGGGCAGGCCAAGTGGGAGATCGTGAAGAGGGCAGTGGGGAGGGGAGACAATGGGGACGAACTCACTGCTGGTAAAGTCTCTTTTATTTAAAAATGATTCAAAACAAGTTACAAAATATTTGCAATGGTCACTTCTTGGTGATGGGTATATGGGTTTGCTTAATCGTCTGTCCTTTCCTGTATTTTTTAAGATTTCTCTGAAAATAACAAAGCACAGCCACCCCCTTCTAATGTGAACTCTGGCATGATAAGCTAGTGATATGGCGTCTGCAGAGAGGGAAACAAATGCTTTCGTCGGGACAGAGGAAAGGTGCTGAGTAATGGTGCATAAAGAGAGGGGCGATCAGAGCCACTGCCGCCAGAAATGACTGGAAAAAATGAGCATTTAAATGAAATCTCAGGCATTGCCCAGCCACACCCATCACTTAGGAGGTTCAAACTGGCCCCTCAACTTGTGTAAAACCCTCTCACCAGGCTGCCTATCACCAGGACTGCACACACTACAGGGCCAAACTGGGAAGGCACACACTTCAGAGGGCAGTGCAGGAGCCGGATGAAAATACCAAAATCCAATTTTAGCCCGGCCGGCGTGGCTCAGTGGTTGAGCATCAACCTATGAACCAGGAGGTCATGGTTCGATTCCCGGTCAGGGCATATGCCCAGGTTGCAAGCTTGATCCTCAGTGCGGGGTATACGGGAGGCGGCTGATCAATGATTCTCATCATTGATGTTTCTCTCTCTCTCTCCCTCTCCCTCTCTGCAATTAATAAAAATATTTAAAAGTAAATAAAAGATAATAAAATAAAACCCAACTTTTAAAGCAAAAAAATAACTGAGTAAGCAAACAATCCACGTGCAGACCTTTAAAGACTCCAGAGGCCAGGTGGAGGGCTGCCACAAGGCCCATGACGTGGTCACCTCTCAGAGGGGCACCCAGGAGCTCGGAGCCAGGGGCTGACAGACACCGACAGGACAGGAGAGAGGCAGGGCTGGCGGACCCTCCCAGAGCCCGGTCTGCCATCTGTCTACAGAGCACTGCCAGGATGCTAGCTCCCCTTCTGCTGGGACCTCCCGACACCTCCATCTGCTGTGGACGTTGTGCCACACCCATGGTCAGCACACTACTGTTCCTTCTCCCTGGGACAGGCCAACGCAGCTACATCCCTGCTGGTCGGACGCTGAAAACTGCCTCTTCCGACAAAGGCAGGCGGCCGCCCTCACCCTGTCACTGCTCAGGGCAAGTCCCTGTCCCAGCGTTTTTACAGTGGCCCCTCCAGACAGCGCTGGGAAGTATGAGGACGTGCCTGAGCTGCTCCGCTCACTGAGCTCTCTCTGCTCTGCACAGACAGGGCAGTGCCAGCACACATCCTGTCTCGGGAGAGCACAGCCTGCCGGTCAGAGCAGACCTCCCAGAGAACAGTGTCCACAGATCCATCTCCCCATAGGCCCTGCCATGTGACCGCTGCAGTCTGGGAAGGGCGACACCACCCCAGAGGGAGGAGGCCTGGGGGTCCGAACACCAGGACTAGTGGGAGGTTTAATTCTATGCACAAGAAAAAAGTTAGATGAAAGCCCACAAGCCCCTCCTCATTACAGTTATTTTCCTGGTCTAAGGACAAAGCATTATAGTAAAAGGGAGGCAAAGACACCCAACATACCCCCTTAAACTGCTGGAAAAATGGGGGTGGGGGTGGACGGGAGTCGAGAGAACTAGGACTAAGTCAAGGGCGAGTTCTAGAAGAAAGCCCGGGGCCTTAGACGGGCATCTCCTGGAGTGTCTCCTCGGTCACGCAGTCCCTGCTGGAGCAGTGCGGGCCGCGGGCCGCTCCAGGCTACTTACCATCATGTGGTAGTCCTCGTGCCCCTCGATGGGTTCGCTGACCACGTTTTTAATGGAGCCCATGGGTAGCTTCTCGGTCCGCTCTGAGTTGAGAGGAATGACAGCTGTTACTCACAGGTCCTCCTGTTCTACTCCTGGGACGCAGCAGACCTCATCAGGGTGGTGGCTCTGGAGCCTCCTGGAGGCGCACATCCTCCTGCCCTCCAGGGGTAAGGGACCAGCCCTGCTGACCACGGCCCGAGAGCCCTGCATGGGAGCTGGGACTTCTTAGGAGCGAACGGGGACCAGGATGTGGCAATGGCATAGCAGAGTATCTCTTTCCTGGTGTTCTTTTTAAAACTCTTAACAATGAATAACACCCAAGAAATCCCACTGTACCCTTACTGCCCAAGCCCAGCACTGGCTCAGGCCTTTGGTGCCTGAGACAGTCGAGAGCCAAGAACAGAGGCACCAGCGTGCCCCGGGGTTCCCACAGATAGGAAGGGAGACTGCTGGCTGTGAACGACCAGGCTCTGGCCCAAGACCCTGCTCACTTGCCCCCCCAACCCCTCCCCTGGCCTGCACACCCCCATATACACACACATGAAAGTCCTCTTAGAATATTTATAACCTCTATGATCAATAATCAAGAGCACACAGATCAGAAGACAGTCTGCAGCAAGTTTAAGGGCAGCAGGTGTGAAAGAGGCAGCGTGAGGAAGGGGGGGAGGGGAGACTGCTGGAAAGAGCAAGTGCAGCAGGAGGGGGGGTAGCAGGAGAGGTGGGGGCGTCTGCCTACAGGAAACCACCCCGGAAGCAGCAGACACCTCAGGGACTGGAAAAGCTCTCAGCAGTTAAGTCAAGATTAAACCACACTAAAGCCTTGGTAGACAAAAATCTGGAAAAGGTGAAATCTGAAAACAGGTAACAAGACAGCAGGAACTTCGAGGCCGGGGTTCTAGTTGAGCAGATGAATTGAGACATTTTATTTCTGTCCTGTGGGCCTCGGCCTGTGAAAATCGGGGCTGGGGAGAAAGACCTGGACGGTCACGCAGGCTATGACTTTTAGCGGCTCTAAAACAGTGCTCCCAGCCAGGACCTGACCAGCTGGTGTCTTTAAGATAGAAACTTCTTTTTTATTTTTTTTTATTTTTTAATTTTCACCCAAGGATATTTCTCCACTGATTTTTTAGAGAAAGTGGGAGAGGGAAAGACAGAGAGAAGTATTGATGTGAGAGAAACACATCGATTGGTTGCCTCCTACACGAGCCCTGACCAGGGCCCAGGCTGGGGAGGAGCCTGCAACCCAGGTACATGCTCTTGATCAGAATCGAATCCGAGACTCTGGGTCCACAGGCCAACACTCTATCTACTGAGCCAAACCGGCTAGGGCAAGATAGAAACTTCTTAAAACACCAACCACCTTGAAACGTCAGCAGTTTTCACAGAAAAATATGGATTTCTGGCTTCTTTTGAAAATGCAGATGTAAGAATCCTGGGCCCACACTTCCAAGTGACCATCAGCTGGATCCCAGGTGCGACTGCCCTACCAACAGGGCACAGGCTCCCCACGGCCTCACCTGTGCTCACCTTTCTTATTCCCTGCCTGTTCTCGCTCCACTAGCCAGAGGCTGAGTCCTGCCTCCCACACAGCCAGAGTTTACGCCACAATCAGGAGCCCGTGAGCGTCCCCTGGAGAAGGAGGCCAACAGGAAGATGAAGCCAGTGCTGGGGGCCCACTCCCAGAACGCGCTGTCCTCTGAGGGTGTGGGCGACACCCAGGGCACGGCACTCATGGGCGCGTGAGAGGGCGCGGTGCCAGGAGGCAGGGCTCTGGGAGGGAATGACAACCCGGGCAGTGGCTGACCCCAGGACATGAATTCATGGCCACGCCCCTTAGCAAGGCTGGCGACCAGGAGACTCAACAGCTCTGCCACCCACAGGTTCTGTGGAGCTCTCCTTCGGCCCGAGGGTGGCCACTCCCACAAGCGAAGCGGGAGCCCCGCACAGGGCAGCACCTTCCTGTCGCACAAGTACTCCCTCAGGGGCCAGCCTGGCTGCACCTACCCGCTGGACCACTGGTGTTTCCTGGGTGGCCTCAGCCACTGCCTCCCCTTAGGCTGCCCTAGTGGAAGAGGCAGGGCTTTAGCGCCCATGCACTGATGGAGGGCTACGCCAAACCACCTGCGAGCATGGAAGTGAGGAGCTGACAGGCGGGCAGCTCGCAACTGAAGAAACAACAGGGGTGACAGGACCGGCTCTGCAGAAGACAGTGACCTATTAAAGGGGCCCAAAGCCCTTGAAGAATGCGGGAGCCCTTCAACAGTTTGCAAAACTTGCTCTGATCATGCAGTTAGAATCAAATGTGAAAGAAAGGGCATGGCAGGTTACCAAACAATTGTTAGAAGACTCAAGCGCTTTGGCATGTCATTCTTTGTTCACTTTAAAAACCAGGATGGAGGTGAAAACAAGAAATTTACTTTCATATTTTGGATGATAAAAATCTCACTCCCCATCACCCCAGCCCTGATTATCTTCCATGAAATTTTGGTCCCATCTGAAGCAGAATCATCTAATGGCCTGTCCCTGAAACTCATCAGCCTCAGAAGATAGGGCCCCCTGGACTTCTCTTTGGCGTTTACCTCGAACACTGACCATCTACAGTGCTGGCAGAAACAGGTGACTTAGGCATGCTCGGTCCCCTCCGGAATCTAACAGGGGACAGACAAGTCGGAGAGTAATGAGTGCTCTGGGGACATAAATGAGTGCTGTATTTGGGGGGGAGGAGGGGGGTGTCAGGGGGCTTCATAGGAGGACATTTAAGTAGGGCCTCGGAAGAGTTTATTACTCACAAGGATGGGAAGAAGGCTTGCAGGGAAGGACAGAGCATGAACAAAGGCACGTGAGGAGCTGTGCGGAGCGCGTGGGGACATTCGGCAAGCGGTGCTGGACACATAGGGTATGACAAGGTAAGCAGGGCAGGAAACTAAATCAAAAATTTAAAGGGGCCCTAACCAGTTTGACTCAGTGGATAGAGCGTCGGCCTGCGGACTGAAGGGTCCCGGGTTCGATTCCGGTCAAGGGCATGTACCTTGGTTGCGGGCACATCCCCAGTGGGGGGTGTGCAGGAGGCAGCTGAATCGATGTTACTCTCTCATCAATGTTTCTAACTATCCCTCTCCCTTCCTCTCTGTAAAAATCAATAAAATATATTTTTAAAAAATTTAAAGGGGTCCCATTCTTGAGAACACTGAACACTATGGTTAAGCATTTGAACTTGGCCTTAAAGAGCCAAAGGTTTATGAGCACAAAAACCAGTGAGGGGAAAAAAAAAACAGTCCAGAAGGTGGGCTGGGCAGAAGAAATCAGAGATGGGCAGGAAACAGGTTAACTCCTTTCAAAGACCAAGTTTCGAGATGCTAGGAGTCTTAAGCAGCACGGTGGAGTGGCAAAGAGACAGATGACTTTGGAGCGCTGCTGACAAGACTTTGATCCTTCGGGGGAAGAAAGAGAGCAGTAAGAGTCACCTCCCAGCAAACAGCAAGCCTGGCCCACCATGCACAGGGGTCGGTGGGGCAGGCAGAGGACAACCAGGGCGGGAGGGCCGGTCCCCAGCACTAAGAAAACTGATCTACAGGGGCCAGGCGGGTGACGTAAACGAAGGATACTGGCCACAGGCAGGTTAGATGGGACAGTGAGAACTGTAGCAGGCCATGTGAAACTACTACTCAGTCCAGCTGCTGGTTATCCCTGAGAATCCAAGTCCAGACTGGCTAACCCTGGTGATTTTTTTCAAATGAAGCCAAAAATCAGATCAAGTGAAATCTCCAGTTTTTTTATAGATTGTGTGTAAACAAACAAAACCCTCATCTGTGGGCCAGACCTGCCCGCAGGCCACACATCTGGGACCTCTGGACAGCCAATGTTGGATGGATTGGTCTTCAGATCACACTAAAAAGAATGAGGGGGGAAAGGGTCCAAAGAGAAGCATCTAAAGCAAAAATCAAAGCCAGGAACGCGCACAGCACAGTGCAGAGATTTGAGAATGAGGAGCAGACTAGCACTTGGGAGGAAGTGCGTCTGGAGGCCAGAGGCAGCAAGCCAGCCAGCGCGGGAGAGGTCACGTACCTTTAGTGCCAATCCACAGCTGGTCTTGTTCTAGCTTAAAGGTGAGTCTCACTTTTCCTCCGGATTTATTGTACATGCCAGACAAGGGGACTGTGGGCAGGCGCTCCTGTGGTGAGAGGGAGGGACCACAATCAGAGGACGACAAATACAGGAGAACAGACGGGACGAGACGGCAGCCCAATGGGGAGTGCTCACAACGGAGCATGGCTTACCTGGGCCCCCTTCACAGATGGCATCACGTCTTCAGGTTTCCCTTTATCCAACACTTTCCTGTGTTGCTGCAACGCAAGTCAAAAGAGCTCATTAAATGAAAGCAGACTGCATTTCGTTATATTCCCACCTCTGAAAAGCAGGACGAAGAAAGCCTAATGTTCTGTTCAAAAGCTTGTACTGCCTACAGACACGGCCTCCAACACGACAGAGCAGTCCGGGCAGCAAACACTTGTGGCTAGAAGCGTGGCGACTAAGCGCTCGAAATGGGGCTAGGACTGAGGAAATGCACCCCCAATTTTACTGAATTTTAATCAATCACACCTGGCTGCCACACTAAACATCAAAGCTCTAGAAAGCAGGACCTTACAGACTAGTTCAAAGAAAACCTATTTCCTCCCACAGTCCCCACTGAAAGGATTCAACACCAAGCTGAGAGCCACAAAGGGTGTTGCTCTCCTGACAGGTTCAAATTGGCAGCAATTCTGCCAACTTACACTCCCAAAGACACCTGGCCCGATGCTGAGGCGCAGCTCAACTGCCTGAAGGGGCATTGCCACCATACACGGGGACTTGTCTGCTGCAGAAGTCTTCCCGCTGCCCACCCTCAACCCCAGCTAGACACAAAGCCTGAAGAACCGCATTTCCCAAGACGAATGCTGATTGCTCGAGAGCCTGACCCTATTAGCAAGTCTCTAACCCAGCCCACCCCAGTTTGAGGCAGATCCTTATGGGCTCTAACAAGGCTCCCCTCAAACAGCTCCTGACCGGCCCACGTGCCTGAACCTGATTTCCGCCCCATTTGTGGCTGTATAGAAACAGACACTGTTGAGCAAAGCTAGAACCACAGGGCAATGAGTGGGCAGAGGGTAAAAAATTAACCTAATTTAAGCACCAGGTGGCCATAAGCCTCACTGGCATGGCAGAAACCCTCCAATGGGAATAGACCCACCACTGCCAGACTGCTAACAAAGGATCCCCTATACATCAGTCCCAGATTTCTGAGCCACTGATAAAGTCACAAAGATGGGGTCCTGTCATTAGGCGGTGTTATGCCTCATAACTGGCGTTAAACACTGCAGCATGGATTACAATCTGAATTTGACTCATATCTCACAAGTACCTTTTGAAGAATTTCCCCTGCACTGTGGAACAATTCTAAGCCTGTTAAGCGATCATTTGTAACTCAAAACCTGTATTCAAGAGACATGTATGCTCCCAGGGTGTGGCCAGTGGGAATGCTCTCACATCTGCATTCTCATATCTGACGTCTCACACATGTGGTAGAGCAAGACAGGAATATGGAAATGAACTCAATTGGTTATAAGACATTTTGACCCCACATTTGGGGGTGGAAGTGTCCAAATAAACACCTTTTAGATGGTAACATAGGTTTATAACTCCTTATTTTAAACCCCATAAACAGATGTTTTGAACTTTTATGAAGGCCAAAAGTTTTAGGGTGTTTTTTGTGTGTGTGGTGGTTTTTTTTTAAGCCTACAGCACCCAGTATTCCCAGGTGGTCTCCCATCCAAGTACTAACCAGGCCTGACCCTGCTTAGCTTCCGAGATCAGACGAGATCGGGCGTGTTCAGGGTGGTATGACCATAGACTGTAATATTTTTAAAATATGTTATATATCCTCCACGGGGTTTGGGGCAGCACACTGCCACCAACCACACTAACATTTTTATGATAAAACATGACTATTCACGTTAATCCTGGTCGGGTTTTGCTGCCACATTTACAAAAGCACGTTTTGGGGGTTTGGAAACGCACACACGAGGGAATATGGACGGTGACAGAAAACTGTGTCCTTCCCACTGTTGGTCATGTGCCTTGATGCCTGGTTACTAAAGCCAGTGTTTGCCAGCTGGACGCTCCCCTGGGACACAGGTTAGGATGAGAACACCTATTTTCCCGGAACACTACCGAGAGTGGGCTTGCTGGGTGACAAGATCACAAGTGATGGTTCTTCCACTAGCATCCTTTGACAGTGCAATACACTGACCTTCAAAATGAGCCACAGAAGAGGAAAAACCTGGCCCCTATTTCAGGGACCAGGAGGGGAAATCAGCATAGTTCTCTTCCTAGTGCTTCACTCGGCTTCCCGAGGTGTCAGTTTTAGAGGAACCTCTGAAAGCTACTGATGTTCATGTCTTTCCAGAAATGGGCTTGTTGACTTGTGGGAAGCCACACACCAAAAAGCAAATGTAAGCACTTGCACAGAATGGGGAATTAGTTCTAGCAATGGCACTTTTCCCACATCTGATTTGAAGCCTGCCTTTACAGAGGCCTTATCCTAAAGTAGATAGACTTGAGACACACTGACCCGCCAGATGAGACAAAGTTGCAAATCTCAGGTAGTTGTCACCTCCACTCAACAGCCAGCGGCACCCAACTGCTGCCATAAATTTCCATCATGGGCCCTGTCCAAAAAGGAGCTTATTCTAGGGAGAATGTAACCAACCGCGGCTCCAGAAGCCTCACACTTCCCAGAACGAGCAGTCACACGACGGACTCACTTTCTGCCTGCACAGCGGCTCCTTCTTGTTCTCTTCGGCCTTGGCATCCTGCTGCGCAGAGTCTTTGGGCGTGTTTACTGCTAAAACATCATTTATCGTGGAACCAACCACCATGATCTTGGCTCCGCTGGTCACCTTTATTTCCCTCAACGTCTTATCCTCAGGGACAAGTCCCTTATACATGACTTTCTGCATGGCTGGCGGGAGACCTTGGGAAAAGGAGGCAGACAGTGAAAGGAAAATCGGAAAACTTACTTGGACCAGAGTACTTGACAACAGATCCCAAAGTGAGTGCTGCTCGACCGCCTACTACTTTTGCACACTTGGGCAATTCACCACCTGTCTCAGCCTCAGTTCCCAAAACTTTGTAATAGTGACGACAGTCGTTCCTTCTGTATGGAACTGTCTTAAAGACCACAAGACAGGACAAACAGTATTTAGTGCAGCTCCTGGTAATTCAGTAACTCTTCGATAAAAATTAGCTGCCATTCATTCCAAGTTGTCCCTCAATCTTCCAATCACTCCAATATTAAGTGAGAGTCCACAGGCCTCGGGGATACAAAAACCCATAAGGACCAAGTTCTTGTTTTTGCGGAGCCTACAAGCACACGGAGAAAGCCTAGAGCAGTGGTTCTCAACCTTCCTAATGCCGCGACCCTTTAATACAGTTCCTCATGTTGTGGTGACCCCCAATTTCATTGTTACAAATTGAACATAATTAAAGCATAGTGATTAATCACAAAAACAATATGTAACTATATCTGTGTTTTCCGATGGTCTTAGGCGACCCTTGTGAAAGGGTCGTTCGACCCCCCCCCCCAAAAGAGGTCGCGACCCACAGGTTGAGAACCGCTGGCCGAGAGGGAAAAAATCATTTCAGATGGCCAAGTGCTGTCCACGAGATGAAATTAAGTAGCAGCAACACCTGGGAGGGGGCCAGCGGCCGGTCACCAGCAGCGTTTCCTAGACTTCCCTTATGAGAATCTCCTGATATTTGCGAAAAACAAATCCGAGGCCACATTCCAGCCCCACGGACTCAAAATCTCAGGCGGAGGAGCCTGGAGTCTGTGTAAACCTTGCAAGTGCCTCAGGTGGTTTTTATTAGGTGTCCGGGCAGCACTAATTAGAGGCTTGGGCCTGGGACTCCGGCCCGGGCTGCAATCCCAGCTCAGCCGGCCACTTAGTGCTCTGCAATGCCAGGCCTCGTCTTGCCCATCTGGGTAATGGGCATCCTGGAACCCACTCCTAGGGCCGCTGTGAGCACGGCTGCTGGGCGAGCGGCCAGCGCGGTGTCCAGGCGGCGTGCGCACCGGGGCGAGGCGGGGAGGGCGGCGGGGTTACCTGTAATCGAGTGAATCTTCTGCTTCAGCTCGGAGCCCGTGCTGTCCAGGGGAACTTCACGTCGTGCTTCGTCTTGTTCCAGATGATCTTCAGGTCCACCAGCTCCCGCGCCACGCCGCCGCCGCCCGCGTCCTCGCCATTGCTGACCGAGGCCTGCGCCGCGGGGTCTCCGGGGGGCTGGGCCGGGGCGGGCTGCAGGCTGCCTCGCGCGGCACAAGGCGTCCTCGGCCGCCGCCCCCGCCGCGGCTTCGGCCTCCACGCAGTTGAGGGACCGCGCGGGGCGCCTCGGCCGCCACGGTCTCGGCCTCCGTGTCCATGCCAGGCTCCTCCATGCCTGCAAGGGGGGCAGGGGGTGGGCGCTCGCCGCGGGCTGGGCCTGCGGCCGGACCCACGCGGGCGCCGCCGCACCCTGGCTCCCGAGTCCGGGCTCCCCCCACCACCAGCCCCCGAGCCGGGCCGCGTCCCCGGGGAGCGACCGCTTCACCCGCGCCCAGCCCGGCGCCCTCCACCCGGCCACACTCACCATCCGGGGCCCCGGCCGCCGCCATGATGATTGTGTACAACACCCACCGCGCCCGCAGGGGCCGCCGGGAAAAGGCGAGCTGGCGGAGATTGGCCCCCGCAGCAGCCCCTATAATCTCGCCTAGGCTAACCGGAAACAGGTGGAGGTTTCTATGGAGACCCGCCTCCTCCGCTTCCCGGGCTCGGCCCCTGCCACGCTTTAACTTTCCACGGCCGAGGGGGCAGGGCCCGGGAAATCGCCCGTTCGATGGGCTCTGCCCTCTAGCGGCCGAGCCGGGCCGCAGCCGTGCAGGGGGCGTGGGCTCGCCGGCTGAGTGGCCTGCGCCTTTAAGGGGCGGGGTAGGGCCCAGTGTGGCGGAAGCGGATTGGCTGGGAGGCGTCCCGGAAGTGGTTCTCGGAGAAGCCCACGTGGATGAGTCGAACCCACATGGCGGTGCTCTTGAGGACGCTGCTGCAGCCAGGGAGGCCCCCGGGAGTCTTGGGGCGCTCCCTGGGACGGCGTGAGGCCAGCCTGAGCACTGGTTCTGGGGTTGCGGTGCGAGTGCGGTTCGCCCCCAGCCCCACAGGTAATCTTAGGGGACGTGACGCTGCAGGCCGAAGCCCATCGTCCGGTGCCCGCCCCCAGAATGTTTTCCAACGAACCCCTTCCGGTGGATTAGCCTGGGAGGGCAGCGCGACCCCATTTTGCAGGGGCAGAAACAGGTCCAGGAGCGGAAATTGTTCCCGTGGCCAGGAATTTCGTTGTTTATTGGGTTGCACCTCTCTTTCGGTCTTTTTTTCACGTATTCAGTAAATGTGTACTAAGTACACACTGCGAGGTACTGTTTCTCTATGATACAATGACCATCTAGAAAGTGGTGGCCGCGGCAAACGTGCACAAAAATACTGTAATTCTAGGCAGTCGCGTGTGCCACATGGGAAATGAAGCAGGAGAGGTGACGGGTTAGTTTAGGTAGGATGCTCAAGCACATCTTGTTGAGGAGGTGACATTTGAGCTGAGAACCAAATGACAAGAATGCAGTGGATAGGAGGAACCTGAGCAGAGGAAACTGCAGGTACACAGGCCCCGTGGCTAGTGTTGGAGCTAAGCAAGCCAACGGGAGTTCAGGGCCCACTGTATACCCCAGTGGAGATGGTGTCAGGGCCTCCGCACCAGTCCCCAGAACTGAGCTCTCTTTTGTTAGCCCCTGCTGAGTTAGAGCCCTGTTTCTTGATTAACCCTTTCACGCACCAGTTCCCAAAATTCTTTCCTCACGAGGCTGCCTCTGCCTTCACAATGAACCTGCCTCTTCTGAAACCCAGGGTCAGTATATAAGGCTGCCTTTGTGGCAAGATCCCAGCTGCACAGAGCGACGGGATTACGGATCGGTACTTTTATAAAATTAGTATAAGTGGATTGCTAGAAAAAAGAATACCTAAAAAGCATACAAAATATGATCCTACTTTGTTTAATTAAACAGGAAATTGTCCTGTCAAACTGCTGCTCTCAGCGTTTTGCTCTCAATTTCTGTGCTTTCTTGCAACAGTTTGCAGACCAGCACTGGTTTGGGAGCCAAAGCCTGAGATTGGGTACATATTTTTGGCTTTGCCACTTCTTCCGAGCTGTGTGACTTGGAGAAATTACCCAGAGGCTCTGAGTTTATCTGTCAAACAGGGCTAGTGATAGTACCCAGCTCATGGGTTTGAGATAATGTAGCTGAGGCTCTTAACAAGGTCTGGTACTTATAGAAAGTACTTCATAAACAGTAGCCTCTATTTTGATTGTTGTTATTACTGTTTTCTTGCTGATTTGCAGGAGCAGCCCATATGACAAAGGCTGTGGACTACAGGCAGATAAAAGGATTATCAAGCAACATATGTCATTACAATAGCTAAAATTCACTAAAGGGTGTTCTTTGGTCAGCATTTAGGCCTCATAGCAACCCTATCAGGAACATGTCTATTTTTTGTTTTTAATCCCTCTCATAGATGAGGAAATGGAGCTCATCCAAATTAAGTCAAAGGGGTACCAGCTAGTAAATGGTGAATGCAGGATTTGAATCCAGGTCTGTGTACCTGTAAGAGGTCTTGCTTTTGCCCTAACAGGTTTGGCTCAGTGGATAGAGCAGGGGTCCTCAAACTTTTTAAACGGGGGGCCAGTTCACTGTCCCTCAGACCGTTGGAGGGCCGGACTATAGTTTAAAGAAAACTATGAACAAATTCCTATGCACACTGCACATATCTTATTTTGAAGTAAAAAAACAAAACGGGAACAAATACAATATTTGTATTTGCATGTGGCCCGCGGGCCGTAGTTTGAGGACCCCTGGGATAGAGCGTCGGCCTGCGGACTCAAGGGTCCCAGGTTCGATTCTGGACAAGGGCATGTACCTTGGTTGCGGGCACATACCCAGTAGGGAGTGTGCAGGAGGCAGCTGATCGATGTTTCTCTCTCATCAATGTTTCTAACTCTCTATCCCTCTCCTTTCCTCTCTGTAAAAAATCAATAAAAAAAAATCTTAGGAGTTTAAATTCAGGTGAAGAGAAATGTGGAATCAAATGTTACTTTTGGTTCGAGTTTAAAGCCAGCACTTAATGTAAAAATCTCAAGTAGACAAAATTCAAAATGTATAATGCGGATAGTCATGACAGTGCGTAGAGGGTGTATGTAAGATATCATTTTATGGTATTTTAAATTTGTAATTAACTTTTTCCAAGCACATCATTGAATTTGCATAAGTTAAATGCACATGTGACAATGGCTTCAGTGGCTCAGCCTCTGCCTCTTCTCCTTTGGGTGAAACTTGGCCTTGAGGCAAATCTCAAAGTAGGGTGATGGTTGCATTTGGAGGGAGTTGGAGCCATTTTACAAAATGGCCTACCGAACTTGGGTGGTCTCCCTGTTCCAGAAAGAGGGGCTGAATGAGTCATCACCCCGTCCTCTGTGCAGTCTGACTGTCCAGGTGCTAGCTGGAGAGATGGGACGAAGGTAGCGGTTTCTTGGGCTTTGATGTTCTTTGAGACATTCTGTTACAAACAGAGCTTGCTTGCCCCTCTACTGAGGCTCGTCAGCTCACATTCCCTGTCTTACCTGATGTTCTCTTCTCCCAGGCTTCTTGCACCTGGGTGGCCTCCGCACTGCCTTGTACAACTACCTCTTTGCCAAGAAGCACGGAGGGAGCTTCATTCTGCGGCTGGAGGACACGGACCAGACCCGCCTGGTGCCCGGGGCAGCGGACAACATTGAGCACATGCTGGAGTGGGCAGGTGAGGCTGGCTGGGAAAGGACTGCAGGCTTCCCCCAGCTCCCAGGAGGGAGAACAGGGGTTCCTGGAGAGAGAGGGGGGCGTTTGTGCTGCCTGGGGTGGCAAGTGCCACCTGAACAGAGACTTAAGCTCCCTGAAGAAAAGCTCCAGGCTGTTTTGAGATTCCTGTTCTTATCCCGGAATCTCAAGTCCTCCTAGGAGCAGGCAGGCATAGGCCGAGTGTGGGACGGGCCTGGGGAGCTGGACCTGTGCTGAGCAGGAGAAAGTCCCAGCCCGAGTTCCCCAGTGGGGATGCGGCCCAGCTTGTCAAATCTTCTGCCTTCCAAGGGGAGCCACAACTCCAGGGTTTTGTTGTTTTTCAGTGACTATTTCCCACTGTTAAATCTGAGCTCAGGCTTTTGAGGGCTTTTAACCACATTGTATGAGTGAAAGAAAATGGACCGGCCGCTGAAGTCGATTTTCTTGTGGGAACGTTAATCCTGAGCACAGCCAAGCTCAGGGAGGACAAGGAGGCGTGTGTTGGTGTTCCCTGGGTCAACAGTTGCCTACCTGCTAGGACAGGATGACTAGTTAGCTCCCCAAGAAAAAATAACGAAAATACCAAGACTGTTTTGAGATGTGTATTTTAATCTCAGGTAAATTAACTGGACTCTGGATTCCTAAAGGGCAGAAGCCAATTTCATTTCTGTCTTTTGCCATAGAGGGCTATAGCAGATACTAGGTCGAGATTAGCTGAATAAAAGGGCATTCATTCAACAATGAATACTGTGACCCAGGAAGTGTTCCAGCAGTGAGCAGAGACTCTGTGCTCAGTAAGTAGGGGAGACAGGCAAACAGATTAATTCATTCCTGGGATATTAAGCGGTGGTGAGTGCTACGGAGAAAGGGTGCAGGTGAGGGAACCGGTGGGGAGGGGTGCTCGTTTAGACTTGGTGGTCTTCACTGTGGAGGTAACATCAGAGCAGAGACTTGCACAGAGTGAGGGCCGGCTCTGAGCTTACCTAGGGGAAGAGTGTTCAAAGAGGGCGAATAGCAGATGCGAAGGCCCCACAGAAGCTCAGCGCCCGGTGAGTTAGAGGAGCCGCCGAAGGCCGTCGTGGCCCGAGCACAGTGAGCGGGCAGAGTAGTGAGGTGTGCGGGAGATGGAATGCCATGCGGGCCAGGAGAGAACGCTCACCGCCTGTGGCTCTGCACTGGGCACGAGGGGGTGCTGACGAACAGGTCCTGCTCTCGCGGAGCCCCTGGTGCAGCATGCATGTGTGAATGACGCCCACCCTAGCATTTTGGTGAAGCAGAGGGCAGCTGCCCAGGCACCCCAGGGTGGCTGACCTGGAACTGCTTGCTTCAGGAAGTCACTCTTTTGGGTTTTGTTTTGTTTTTGTTTTTGTTTGGGGGGGGGGGGCGGATTGATATGTAATTCACATCATACGAAATTCACCATTTCAAAGTGTACAATTCAGTGATTTAGTCTAGTCACCATGTTGTGCAGCCATCGCCACTCTCTAATTCCAAAACATTTCCATCACTCCAACACAAAACCCAGGACCTATTCGTCCCCCGCAGCCCCTGACACCGCTCATCTGCTCCTGTCCCCGGGTTTGCCTGTTCTGGACATTTCATATAAGAGGGATTACGCAGTATGTGGCTGTGATGACTGGCTTTTACTTAGTGTAAGTTCGTCTGTGTGGTAGCATATGTCAGCACTTCATTCCTCTTTAGGACGGTCATTGTGCAGAAATACCACATTCTGCTTATCCATTCACCTGAGGGGGGGCATTTGGCTTTTTTCCACTTTTTGGCTGAGTCACTGCTGTGAGCATGTGTGTCCTAGTCTTTATGTGAACATACGTTTTCAATTCCTCTAGTGGAGTTACTCTGAAGCCCTGGGCATTCCACACGCTGAACACATTCCGGTAGATCAGGAAGGGACCCCGTGTACCTAACCCAACCTTCTCTTCTGA